TGAAGCGGAATAAAAACACAAAACCACTCCAACCCCCTAAATCCTACACTCTTCCATGAAGGAGCGTCTTGTCGAAGACAATGCCCACTCTCAAATATGGTCCAGAAGAACTTACAAGGAAAAAATCCAACAAAATGGATTGCTGGCCCGTACCCTGAGGCCTAGACCCCATTATCCTCACATCACTTCTATCAAAGCACCGGACAGTACACTAAAACCCTCCCCAAACGATATATGTGTATGGGGGGGTAGCAGTGTGTGGGGCACTGTATGTATGTGTGGGGCAGTGTGTGTATGGGGGGTAGCAGTGTGTGTGTGGGGCACTGTATGTGTCTGTGGGGCAATTTGTGTATGGGGGTCATGTGTATTGGGGCAGCAGTGTGTGTGGGGCAATCTGTCTATGGGTGTGCAGTGTGTGTGTGTGGGGCAGTGTGTGCATGTGGGGAGGAGGGTAGGGAGGATTTTAAATATTTTTTTATTATTATTATTTAATAATATAAATAGACATTATGTCCCCCGTCCCTTCTTACCTTTATTGAGGAGGAGGGGGGACATTTCTCTATCCTTGGTGGTCCAGTGGGGAATCCCTGGTGGTCCAAGTGGGGGTGAGGTGAACTCTAGCTCGTAGCTCCAGGGCTAGAGTTCACTCTCGCGAGATTTGGAGCGTTGCCATGGTACCCGCGGAGCTCCCGTGTCCTCTCTCCCTCCCCTGTCGGCTGCCAGCACGGTGCCTGTGGACCGGGGAGGGAGAAATCTGATCTCTGATCCCCCTCCCCGGTCTGCAGGCACATTGCAGGGCTGGCACTTGGACAATGCCAGCCCTGCATTAGCCGGCAGGGGAGATTCTTGGGGGGGGGGGGGCGATTGCCCCGTTGCCCCCCCTGGATCCGCCACTGGTCCTACTCTAACAGCCTAATGTCTGCAGATGTGGGCTACAAAATTTCTAAAAGGAATGGAACATATCAGCTATGAAGAAAGGTTAACAAATGTAAACTTCTTTAGTTTAGAAAAACGTTGCCTGAGAGGGGATATGATAATATTATACAAAATCTATTCTGGGCCAATACAAACCATTGTGTGGAAATCTATTCACAAACAGGACTTTACATAGGACACAAGGTCATGCGTTTAGACTGGAAGAAAGAAGATTTCGTCTAAGGCAAAGGAAAGGTTTTGTTACTGTAAGAACAATAAGGTTGTGGAATTCTCTGCCTGAAGAAGTGGTTTTGTCAGAGTCCATACAGATGTTCAAACAGCAAAAACAGAATATTCAAAGATATATTTTTTCAATGCAGGGTAATAACTGCTTGATCCAAGTATAAATCTGACTGGCATTCTGGGGTCAAGAAGGATTTTTTTTCCTAGTTTGTTGCAAAATTGGGAGTGCTTCAAACTGGTTTTTTTTGCCTTCTTTTGGATCAACCGCAAAAAACAAATGTGAGGAAGGCTCGACTTGATGGACGCAAGTCTCTTTTCAGCTATGTAACTATGTAACACATACAGATACACTGCCACAAACATACTGTCACAGATATGCATTCAGACTTACACAGATACAGATACAAACATACTGACATAGATACACACAAACATACACAGACACACAACTACCGATATACCTATACAGACATAGATACACACCCATATTAACACATACATACTGATACACACACTAACAAAGATACAAACACACATACACACAGATATACAAACATACACAAAAAAGTTATTTCCATATTTTTAGCTGCCCTTCTTTTTGTAGGGTGGCATGGTGGTAAAACTGGGGGCCTGTGGGTCGTCCAAGCTGCTGGAAGTCTGCCTGTCTCTCGTATTTGCCTGATTGCCGCCTGTTGTGACCTTTGATTCCGTACCCGACTTCTCTCTTGGATTATCCTTGTCTGCTCTACGTTTCTGGAAAAACTGTTCCTGTTTAGCCCCAGTGCACTGACTCACTACCTTGGAGATTTCTACCTTGAGTCTCCTCGGTTTGTAAATAAATGCAAAGGGTGCCTTAACTCTGCACTACTGACTCCACCTAAAGGTAAGATCCTGATAACGTAGGGTGAGGGACAACCAATAGACCCCAACAGTGTGTGGGCCCTGGTGCAACGCATCGGTTGTACCTCCGCAACTACTACTTATTTATATTTTGTATTTTGTTTTTCTTTTCATTGCTCTAATATTTTATCTTGTTGATTGATTTTCCTTTTTTTTTTTTCACAAAAAATAAACATACAATAACATCACATCATTTAAAAACCTTCATAAAACATTAATAAAACCATTATCAATCTGAAGGGATAACAACCACTCATGTTCATTTTATCACAAATAATAACATAACCTGCAAAACGATATGTAAAAAAATAAGAGAAATGATGGCCATAAATTACTCAAGAGAAAATATATTACAGTCTGGGTTGTCTTTTAGGTGGCACATCGGGTGTACAATAGAAAATATTCATTTTCGTCCATTCTTACGAATACCGAATAACAAATGGCTATACAAACGAATGAACGAACAAACGAATGGGCGTTTAACGAAATTCTTCCATGAGCCTTTTGTTTGTTCGTTCATTCAGCTTTTTGAATTACACTCTGTGTGAATTACATTTAGCACTCTGTGTAATTCAAAAAGCCAAACTACTAATCAAATGAACGAATGGTAATATTCTTTCATTCGTTAGTTCTGTTCACTGCCTTCAAATCTGATGGGATTGAGCCAAACTAATGAATGGGTACTAATGAATGTGCCTTTCGTTCATTCGTATCTCTAGTTTGGCTTTTTGAATTACAGCCAGTGTAACGTATTCATCCGCTTATAAAAATGTGGTTAATTGCATTTACTGTCCACACAAGAAAAGTTGTGCCGAGCAGCAACCAAATCCACAGAAGGGTTAATGCTGAGCAGCAATTATGCAAATGGAAACCTGGTAACTGCCTTTGGGGTCAAAGGCCAGTTACAGTCTATCAGACCTAGAGGAGGGGTATTTAGGCCCAGTACTCATCCTGCTCAGTGCCCTGTCGTGGTTTCCCTTGTGGTTGTCCTAGAGTGTGTTATTGATTTTGGTTATTCTGGTTATTTGACTTTGGCATTGTTTTTGACTTCCCTGTTTTCTGGCATCCCTGACTCCTGGCTTTTCCTTATCGTTGTGTCTCTTTCTGTATCTCTTGACCTATTCCGGACTATTCTTTGGTACGTTAGTCTGGCCATTCTAAGGTCCGGTATACGTTACCTATCAGTCCTCTGTGTTACACAATTCTACGTGCTGGATCATTCTGTAATCCTGACAAATAAGTCAAGAGTCATGTCGAAGGTCAGAAGCTAGGAAATCCAGGAATTGAGAACAGGATACTAGAGGTTAAAAGTCGGAGATAAGAAGCGTGGTCAAGGCCAAGGTCAGGAACCGATACGTTTACAGGAAACCAGGATCTAATATCAAGAACAAGAATCAGAAAGCAGGACCAGGAGACTGGGGCAAGCGCCGTCACATCCAAGCACTGACCAAGTGCAATGCTTGGGTATTGATAGGCAGAGCAATTCATGTGACCGCCACCCATCTCTTGCAGGCAGAGCCCCCAGTGACTATAAAGGAGGGGAATGTGACTGGGTGCCATCTTGGCTATTCCACAGTCCCTCCCTCTCTATCCAAGCCTCATTCCCCCAGCCCTCCTCGGTTCCCTCCGCAGCTGCGCCTGCGGTCGCAATCTTGCTCCTTTCTGCAATTTCAAGTCTCTGGCTCTTTATACCCTAGAGAATTTGTTGTTTTGGCTGGAATTCAGTATCCTGTATGGGTGCTGTATCTCTATATACATATAATTACATACAGAGTTTGGAGTGTTAAATTGGATGTATTTATATGACTAGTTTGAGGTATGAATGATAGGTGGCTGTTTAGATAAGTGGGAAAGTGTGATGGGTCACAGGGGCTGTAGTGGGGGGGGTCAGAGGTCATAGTAAGGAAATATTGATCATTGTGGTATGAACAGCAGATGGGATGGCAGGGGCTAGTGTGGGGTGGATAGTGGGTATAGTGTGGCAGGGTCAAGAGGTGGTTATGTGGGGTAGGGCTAATAGTGGGTTGGTAGAGGCTGCATGTAGTGTTGTAAAAAGAAAGTTTATTCCCCCTCCCTGAGACTTACGTTGGGCCAGGGAGGGCTAATCTTGGTCCGTGGTGGTCCTGTGAATGACGCAGCATGTCTTCCTAGCCGCAGGAAATCTCCTCTATCAGCCTCAGCCACACAGCGGAGAAGATCCGGTGATCTCCCCACTGACTATGCCACTCATCTCCTGCCTGCTGCCCCAAGGCTGTGGCCTTGTGGAAAATCTGGCCATGCTTGGGAGGTATGAAAATGTAAATACAACTTCTCTCATTAGGACCATCCAGCTTTCAGCACCAGGCCTATGAAGTTCTAAATCAAATAAGATTTCAAGATTATTTTCTTTCTGGAATTCTACCAGAGAATTGGAAGAAGGCAGATGTGGTTCCTATATTCAAAAAAAGATTCAAAACCCTTGCCTGGAAATTATAGCTCTGATTATTTATTTATATATATATATATATATATATATATATATATATATATATATATATATAAATAAATAATCTTTTTTTGCTATCACTTCTCCTTTCTACATTTTTCTAGTGTGTATGATTCGTGTTATATGTAATATATTAAAAGTTAAGTTTTAATTTGGTAATTTAATTTTTAGTATCTGTTTCCTCCATTGAATGAATCCAGAAAGGAGCAGATCGGAAATGGTGTCTGGCGGTCCAATTATCAGGGGTGGCCGCTAAATAGCTAAGTCAAGAGTCCTGCTGAAGGTCAGAAGCCATGAAATTCATGAATTGGGAGGAGGATACTAGAGTTTAAAAGGTCAGATACAAGAAGCATGGTCAGAGTCTAATCCAAAGGTCAGGAGCTAGAGATGTCGCGAACCGTTCGCGAACTTCCCGCGAACGGTTCGCCGCGAACGGTTCGTGGCGAGCTCCGGTCAGCTGACACATCCCGGCCAATCTCCAGCAGACCCTCCCTCCCAGACCCTCCCATCTCCTGGACAGCATCCATGTTGAAGCTGCCTCAGGGGCGGGCTGGGCCGGGGGGCAGGGAGGGTCTGGGAGGGAGGGTCTGCTGGAGATTGGCCGGGATGTGTCAGCTGACCGGAGCTCGCCGCGGCGAGCCGTTCGCGGGAAGTTCGCGAACGGTTCGCGACATCTCTATCAGGAGCCAAGAAGTTTACAGAAATCCAGGATGAAGAATCAGGAGCCAGGACCAGGAGACTGGGGCAAGCACCATAACAACCTATAGTTCTTGCTGAAGGGTTGACAATACAAATATTTAATAGAACTACGCATAAAACCATTAATTTCAGATGCACTTAGAGACTTTTTTTCTGCACAATTTTTTTATCATATTTATTATCCTTCAGATAGTATTATATGAAAAATGCCGGGTATGAAACCCATTTGATCGTTATGGATTACTTGGGGAATTAATGGTAAATTTTCAAGCTGGACAGAGGTGGCAAGTGGTGTCCCTCAGGGGTCTGTTCTGGGACCCCTTCTATTTAACATGTTTATAAATGATCTTGAAGACCGCATTGAAAGTCATGTTTCAGTGTTTGCAGATGACACAAAACTTTGTAAAGCAATACAATGTGAGAAAGATATTACTTTGCTGCAGAGGGATTTAGATAGACTGGGAGACTGGGCACTCAAATGGCAGATGAAATTTAATGTTGAAAAATGCAAAGTATGCACTTGGTAAAAGGAATACACAAGCAACGTATACCCTTAATGGAAGCGAATTAGGGATAACAACACATGAAAAGGACTTGGGAATTGTTATAGACAACAAACTGTGCAACAATGTGCAATGTCAATCAGCAGTGGCCAAGGCCAGTAAAGTATTGTCATGCATGAAAAAGGGCATTCATTCTCGGGACAAGAATATAATTTTGCCTCTTTATAAATCACTGGTAAGACCCCATATTGAATATGCTGTGCAATTTTGGGCACCTGTTCTAAAGAAGGATATTATGGCACTAGAAAAAGTGCAGAGGCGGGCTACAAAATTAATAAAGGAATGGAACATATCGGCTATGAAGAAAGGTTAACAAATTTAAACCTATTTAGTTTAGAAAAACGTCGCCTGAGAGGGGATATGATAACATTATACAAATATATTCGGGGCCAATACAAACCATTGTGTGGAAATCTATTCACAAACCGGACTTTACATAGGACACGAGGCCATGCGTTTAGACTGGAAGAAAGAAGATTTCGCCTAAGGCAAAGGAAAGGTTTTTTACTGTAGAACAATCAGGATGTGGAATTCTCTGCCTGAGGAAGTGGTTTTATCAGAGTCCATACAGATGTTCAAACGGCTACTAGATGCATACTTGCAAAAACAGAATATTCAAGGATATAATCTTTCAATGTAGGGTAATAACTGTTTGATCCAAGGATAAATCTGACTGCCATTCTGGGGTCAAGAAGAAAATTTTTTCCTAGCTTGTTGCAAAATTGTGCTTCAAACTGGGTTTTTTTTTTGCCTTCTTTTGGATCAACAGCAAAAAACAAATGTGAGGAAGGCTGAACTTGATGGACGCAAGTCTCTTTTCAGCTATGTAACTATGTAACTATGAATGAACCTTGTAAGTCTTCTAGCAAGAATAACTCCAAATAATTTTCTGTCAGAATTTCTAAGTGATATAGGTCTATAATTAATTACTTTTTCTTGTTCTTTCTTAGCCTTTGATATTGGGAGAATATTATCCCTCAAAAATTATTCTGGATGAATTCCTTTACTGTATAAGCCATTGCCAGATGTCTACTGACATGTTATAATATTTTGTAAAACAAACCACTGAATCCATCTGGCCCAGGACATTTATGTTTTTGTTTTTTTATCCATTGATGGCCACAAATACTTCATCTTCACTAATTGGTTTGTTTAAATCATTAGTAAAATTTAGTTATTAATTAAAAAAAAATAAAAAATGTTTTAATTCTTTATTTATTTATTTATTTATTTTTTATTATTTTTTTTAAATTCTTTATTTTTGGCATGACAGTGCGATACAATAATGAAGAAACACATGTAGTACATGGAATAGGTAACCAATCCGTAATCCAATGTACATATGATTATATCATCGTTGCAGTTTGTGTGAGTGTGTTCAGTTTGGAAAAATGTGCTAAGGAGTGTCATTTTTCATTCATTTTCATACATACATACATTTTATGAGAGATTGTAAGTCTTATACAATAAAAGGGAAAAAGAGAAAAAAGAGAGAATAAAACATGCCATAACTGGGTATTGTAAGTACCGCAAATGTCAAGCTCTGGTTGCAGCCCACATTAGGCCGTATTATAGAAGGCAGGGGTAGGGCAGGAAGGGGGGGGGAGGAGGGAGGTGTGGGGGTCCCCGTGGCGGGGTCCGGAGCGTTGCGGTGTGAGGCTCTGTTGGTGTCTAGTTAAGTGTTGGCACTTTGGGAAGGCCCTGTAGTGGGATTTCCGTAGCTCTCCCAGTTCCCTGTTAACCATGGTTCCCAGACCTTTTCGTATCGTGTCATGGTGTCTCTCACTAGTGCTGTAAGGTGGTCCATGACCTGGATATCTTTGATTTTGTGGAGTACAGTGTTTATCTGTGGGATTGTAGTTTGAAGCCATGTCTGCGCCATGGTGAGTCTGGCCGCCAGTGTGATTTTGTGTAGGAGTTTCTGTTCCTTTTTGGGCCAGTCTGCTAGTGCTCTGGAGAGCAGAAAAACCCATGGGTCTATTTTGACTTGTCTGTGAAAAACCTCACTTAGGAGGTTGCCCACTTCCCTCCAGAAGGCCTGCGCTTTCGGGCATTCCCACCACATATGGATGTACGTCCCTTTGGTTCCGCAGCCCCTCCAACACAAGTCGTTTGGGGTTTTACGCATGCGGTATAATTTTACTGGAGTGGTGTACCAGCGCAGCATGGTCTTATAGGCCTGCTCTTGGTGGGTAACGCACGCGGAAATAGCTTTGTTTGCGTCCCATATTTCTCTCCACTCTGTGCCCTCTAGGGTCTCTTTGAGATCTGTTTCCCAGTGGACGGTGTAGGTCAAGTCGCCCCAATCACTGTTTGTGCATAAATGTGCGTATAGGTATGAAATAAGTCCCTTTGGGGGGGTTTCCTTGAGACACATTCGCTCAAAGCCCGTGGGCGCAGTATGTGCTGCCGTTTTGGCCAGATTGTGTTGTGCAAAGTCTCGGATTTGAATATAGCGAAAAAAGACATCAGCTTAGAATTAGGAAACCTCTGCACCACGACTCAGTGGAATTGGAAGCTCAATGCGTCCCTATTACAGGACCCTACTATTAGAGAGACTATTCGCACAGAGATAGTAGAATATTTCCAACTCAACTCCTCTCAAGAGCTAACTCCCGCCACGGTATGGGCTGCTCACAAAGCGGTTATCAGAGGCACACTAATAAGGGAAGCCACCAGGAAAAAGAAACTGAAAACACAACGCCTAAAGTCCCTCCTACGTGACTTACACACACAAGAGCAGAGACATAAAACTAACCCTACCCCAGATGGGCTTCTGGCCCTACAGACTACCCGACGCCATATAAAGGAAACTTTAGTGGCCGACGTAGCGAAGGCTATGCTCTGGTCTAAGAGAACATATTATGAACAGGCTAACAAAATGCACACGTTTCTGGCCCGCACCCTACACCCATGCTCACGCCGAACACATATCACCACACTCAGGGATCGCGCAGGTCAGATCAAAACGACACCGGCAGACATAGCTCGGATATTCACAGAGTTTTACACAACCCTATACAATCACACACTCACCGAGGCTGACAAAACACCGCACCTACGAGACGAGATAAGACAATACCTGGGCAAAATTGACCTCCCGAAGTTGACCCCTATAGCAATAGAGTCCTTAGGAGACGAGGTCACAGCAGACGAAATAGATAGAGCGATATCATGCCTCAAAGGGCATAAGGCCCCGGGCCCCGATGGCTATGTGGGCAGCTATTATAAAACATACCGAGAAGAACTGACACCGCACTTATTAAAATGGTTCAACTATTTGATGCAGGGTGGACGACCAGACCCAGACATGTCCACGGCCCATATAATACTATTACCCAAACCCGGAAAAGACGCAACATACCCTGAAAATTACAGACCCATATCATTGATCAACCAAGACGTTAAAATACTAGACAAAATACTAGCGGATAGACTGTCTCCACACCTAACACACCTGGTCCATGCGGATCAGGTGGGTTTCGTCCCTGGAAGACAGTTATTTGAAAACACCAGACGCAACATTTACTTAATCTGGACGCAGACGATCACGCACACACCAACGCTCATGCTATCTCTCGACGCGGAAAAGGCGTTCGATAGGGTAAACTGGACATACCTATTCGAACTCCTTCGACATCTCCACTTCCCCGAACAGTACATAACCACGATCCAAGCCATGTACACGGACGTTACGGCACACATTCAGATTACGGGCGCCCAGACAACCCCTTTCAACTTACACAACGGCACGCGCCAGGGTTGCCCACTATCACCCCTCCTGTTCGTCATCACACTAGAGCCCCTACTACAGGCGATCAGATTGAACCAATTAATACACGGAATCTCAGTGGGGGACCAAACATTCAAAGTATCAGGCTATGCGGATGACGTCCTTCTTACGCTCACAACCCCAAGGACCTCAATGTTAGCCTTAAATAAAGAATTAGCAGACTACGGAGCCTTATCGGGATATAAGGTTAACCTGTGCAAATCTACCGCACTCCCAATAGCAATGACAATGCACGACGCTACATACATAAGAACCCAACACCATATACCTATAACGCACACTTCCATAAAATACCTGGGAATACAACTAACCGCTGACCCCTCACAACTATACGAGGCGAATTACACACCAATCCTCCGCACCCTTAGTGCAGACCTTGACAAATGGACCGACAAGCCCATATCCTGGATAGGACGGGTCCATACGATAAAAATGAACATCCTCCCGAGACTCCTCTTCCTTTTTCAAGCGCTCCCCATACCCATAACTAAAACGGACCTAGCCCCCTTGCAGAGGTCCATAGGGGATTTTATTTGGCAACGCAAGCGCCACAGAGTAGCA